GGGGGGGGGCTGGACTCGATGATCTTCCGAGGTCCCTTCCAGCCCTAATGTCTATGAAATCTATGAAATCTTTGGGCCTGATCCTCAATTCATTCACTCTTGTTGCAATTCAGAAGCAATTTCAACCAAGATCGTTGAACTCTTACTGAGTAGAACCAGAATCCAGCTCACGTTTTCTGCTTCAACTGAGTCTATTTGAGGTTCTTATCCTGAAACTCTTACGGTGTCATTCAGACAGGGACTTGCTTTTCCTTACTGGCCTGCAGGGGATGGTTCATGGATGGGATTCTCTCAAAAGCTACAGGCTCCCATGACGCAGTTTGCAAGGAGAGCAATGGGAATAAATTTTAGTTGATCTTGTTCCCTGCTAGCCAGCTGAACTTCAGGCCCATGAAAATACAAAACCCCCCTTTCCTGAGGCAAATTTAATAACCTCCAAGTCGTGCATTAGCACAGAGAAGGGTGAAAACATGAAAAGTTGCCCATATTTCCCCATTCTCCATGCTAATGCATGATTTGGTGGCATCAGAGAAGCAAGATACAAAGAGTACAGAAGTTGGCAGAAAAGCCCAAGTCTTAGTTGCCCATTTGCCTGTGATGTCTCCAAATCATTCTCATCTTGTATTAAATAAGCAAATGGTGCACTGAGACATGTGCTTGTCTGCCAAGTTTTGTCCAGTGTCATTATCATCTCATTATTCCCAAACCCCTTTGCCTCTTGTCCATTTGACCCCCTATTGGATACCTGTATACCAACTTCTCAATGGAAGGGACCATATTCTTTGTACCTTGCTTATCTGCCTAATGCTTGAAGGGGCACTTCTGTGATAGAAAGAAAATAAATATGGAGTGTGTTACATATCAGTACTGTATTCTGCATTTTGTGAGAAACTGCTATGATAATAGGTAAATTGAATGAAATGGAGAGGTCCAGTTCACTGCAGTGGAGGGTTATTTCTGAATGAGATAACTTTGCTGACACTGAATGGGGAACTGCGCATGGATAGTTTCAAGTGAA